TATATATATATATATATAATTAAGAATACATTGCTAGACAAGTAATTCAAACTTTAAATTGTTTGTGTAAAGAATATATTTAGTTTTTTTATACACTTACAGAGTAAGATGTGATGTTTCTTTGATACTTACACCAATGATGCTGACTAAATTTTTATTAGTAATTTTCATTTAAAAAATGATTTTATCCCATTAGCAATAGAACCTAATGAATGTGAAGATGATGATGCTTGTTCAGGAAATTCTGTTTGTAGACCAGACAAAGATGGAGTAAAGAAATGTGTAGGTAGGTATAACAAATCAGGAATAGTAATGCTTAACACACATAATTTACATTCTTGAAGATTTTTGCCTTAGAAAGTTATGAATACAATTAACATAAAACTATAAGATGAGAGATTGTCCTGTCATCTATAAAATGGCAGAGTTATCAATGTATTGGATAATTTTTCTGATAAGGATATCTGCACAGACAAATAACTCATATTATTTAGTACTGGAACAATGAATATATGTTGAACAAACTCTGCATTAATCTTGTTAGTCATGTATTTAAACACTAACCAATTATATACCTATTAAGGTGTACCTTGTAAATTTCAGGTTGAGGTTGATTTACATCAGAAACAGCAATAATGTTCACCAAGCATAATTGAAGAAATACACTTAAAGTTATATAACTACAAAATTGCATTATAATTATACAGCATTTAGTATTTGTTTTTAGATCACAATGTTGCACTTCCTAATCCTGTAATTGCCCCTGATAGATTGGTGATAACTTTATGGACTGTGTTAATCTGGTGTCTCTTATTCAAGATCTGTAGTTCTGAAACGAACAGTGGCTTGAATTTGAAAATTAACAGAATGCATAAAAGAACTGTTGTAGCTATAATTACATGAAACCACCACTACCAACTTTCTTTCACCAAGTACTTCTACTTTGTTTCTAGTTTAGAATATGTAATAATGTTTTTTTTTGTTTTTGTTTGCCTGTGTACCTTATTCTAATATATTGGTGTGTCTTTAGTGCTTTTACGCTACTACTGAACTCAAGGTCTGTCTACTTTCTATATTAGTCCTCTTAGAAATCATTAGCATTTAAAATTAAGAGCACTTCAGAAACATTGTACTTTTATCTAGTCATTAAGCAGCTGATGTTTATAATTGACATACTGAAGATTTAGCTGATTTTGATTACTGGATCTAATTAACAATAAGCTTATTACTCAAATTTATGTTGCCTATATATGCATTTTTATTTGCAACTTACTGAAACTTTACCATATATTTACTGTTTGTTGAAATCTGTTTAATGAAGCATGTGTTGAACTGTAAACCATACAAACATTGTACCAAATGACAAACTAATATACGACTTCTGTGATAAAACAAACAAAGTTATAGATACCTGAATATTCGTTTGACAGCTTTAGGTATAATACAAAATGAATAGAAAATAAAACTATATATATATATATATAAGAAATCTATTGCATTCACTGTAAAATGATATAGAAAGAAATATGACATCCATCATTCACTTTTAGATAACTATTCAATAGACTGGTAAAGGTTTGTGTCATAGATATTTTCCAATATGTTACATTTCCTCTGCTCACAAAAATAGCTATTCTCTTGAGTTCCCATATACCTTACAATCGACTGATTCAAATACATCTTGCATGCAAATCATCATGTGACAATAAGATTGTGACACACTCTCCTGATGCATGTGACTCCCTCTATTTGATTCTACCAAACTATCACTTCTTCTTTGGCAGTACTCATGTCGAGACATTTTTATTTTTGTGTGCTTTTCAAATTTAATTAACTTCATGATATTTTTTTAGTTATTATTCTGAAGTGCATTTTGAAATATTTTCTTTAACAGTTAACAACTTTTCAGATAACTTATTTTCCCAGTTTTTCTTTTTTTTTCATCAAACACTTGTGTTTGATTATCAATTTTACACAATGAATTTTGAAGTTCAAGTTACCACTTCAGATATCGTACCTTTTATTAGCACACTCACACAGGCAACAGGTGGGGGTGACTCATCTTTTGATTTATGGCTATCATCTGCCATGAGATTGATCATTATATGCATCAATCTGCTTCTCCTATTCTTCCTGAACATGCCAAATCTGTTCAGATTGATGAGGATTTTGACAGCCTTTTTCTGCCACCTGATTTTGCCATGTCTTCCTATGCCCCTACTTTGGAATCAGTTAGGTTTAATATGGCATTTTTTAGACATGATTTCTCAGGTATTTCTCAGATCCCTACTTCATTTTAAAATTTATGATTTTTTTAATACTCTTGTATGTGTAATTTTTATGTTATACCTGTATAAACTATATACTTTATCTTTAGAAACAGTTACTTGTCTATTCATCAATGTGTAGCACCATCCATTGAGTTTAAAAGACATTTAAGTACGTGCATGATATATTTACTATTTATATTATACCTGTATATACATGGACTTTTATTCGAAGGGCAAAAGCAGAAGGCCACCATCAAATCAAGTACTGTGAGAGAATATTGAGTCAAATGTTGATTTGCTCTAGGCTTTCAGACATGATCAGTCAGTTAGTTGATACAGTCGTTGTTTTAGATATTATGATAAACTTTTAGTGGAGTGATTTTCGACATTTTGCCACTGTGAATCAATATTGTTTTTGTTGTGTTGTGTATATCAGTAGGTTTTTGGTGGAAAAGGTTTTATTAGGCAGTTTTGGGAAAAGCGTTTTTTCAGCTGCCATTTTTTTCCATTTTGATCCCTATTATTAAGTACTACCATATTTAATGATCAAAGTAGTAGTTTGTGGTTATATTTTGTAAAATATGTCAATGAAATTGTGATTGTTGTAGCCTTTTGTTGTGAGGAAACTTGAAATATTTTTTGCCAGTAAAGTAGTTTTGATAAGTTCATAAAAAACTTAATAAAGTATGATTAACTTAAAAAAAAAAATGTCCAGTAGTTTTGTTGTTTTAACATAAAATACAAATGATTTGTAGTAACTATGTTGAGAGCATTGCCTAGAAGAATCAGAAATGTCTTAAAGGAATTTTACTGCAGCATAAAATATGTATTGCTTAAAAAAAGTTTCTATTTCTTTTTTTTGTATGTAGTAGTAGGTAATTAGTTTGGTAGAGCTAGTTTTATTTGAGTAATAATCTAAATAACACTTATGTATTGAAATTTTGTGTAGATGTCTGTAAGAATGTACAGTGTGGTCCAAATGCTGTGTGTAATAAGGACAGTCATCCTGCAGCTTGTAATTGTTTATCTGGTTTCTTTGGAGACCCTAAAGACCCAAAACGAGGATGTCAGCGTAAGAAAATTATGTGACTGTGATTTATAACTTTGAAGTTGATTTTTTTTACAGTTATTATTTTAAATGTGCATGTAGTGTTATTAGAACATTTATTTATACTAGCTTTCTTTTTCTTATTCTCATTGTACTTGTTAAATATCTAATTACTTGCTTGTGGAAAAATGCTAAAATTGATTATTTCAAATATTATAATACCAAAAGTACTTTTTATTTATCTTAACATTATTAAGGAAGTGGAAAAGGTATTCCACCAAAAAAAAATACAGATATTGGCATTTACCTTAAATTTCATTTTTTTTCAATTTAAAGGAAACAAATTGCATTAAAAACACAAACGCTTTTCTTTCTACAGTATGATTACGATGTCATGCAAGAATCATTTATAGTATTAAAATCTTAGGTATATTATAAGAGCTGATAATTATTTCTAAGTGCAAAGTTGATGTTCTATATTACAGCACCTCATATTTGTGAAGATGACAATAGCTGTCTTGCTAGCCAGTTGTGCAAACCTGATGAAAATGGAGTTAAAAAGTGCTTTGGTATGACTGTCTATGAATTTTGATTATTGAAACCACTGAAAATTACATAGTCTTATTTTTTTTGGGGGGTGGGGTATTATTTGTTGAATAAACAGCATATATATATATTTATGTTGGTACCTTTAAATAACATAGAAGGTCACTATGTATATCCAATATTTTATGTAGTCAGTATTGAATGGTGGGTTTACTAAATGATTTAGCAAAGTAATTGAGTTTGAACTAATTTTGAAGGTGAACTTTTAATATTTATTTACATAAATGATTTGTTAAATGGTTGCATACATTTTATAAAGCTTTAAAAATACAGTTGGTTTTATTAAATCAATAATAAAGATGTATATGTTATGGCACAAATAATAACCATATATATTCCTTGCTTGTTTTATTTTTCACTTTATACAATTAAGTGATAATATATAAATGAACATATAGATGGATTCTCTCGCTTCTTTGATGAATGAGTGTTCATCAAAGGTCAGCAAAGCAATAATAATAATCAATAAATCAGTTTTTGACTGGTGTTGTCTCATATGGGATGAAAGATCAATTCTTGACTTGCAGATATGGTTACAAATGTTGCAGGTGTAGTCACTGTTGGATAGACTGGTTTTGTGATGTGTCTACTTGTCCTGTAAGCATTTTACTGTGTTATCCTCATATGTGAAAACTGCTATGCGACATTGACTTCTCCATTTGGGTCTGTCCAGAGTGGTGTTTTCTCATGCCTTGAGGTTGGTCTTCAGTGTGTCTTTATATCTGATCATGGACCATCCTGTGGTGTGAAGTCCTGTGCTTAACTGACTGTAGAATACCACCTGTGATATGCAGGTATCCTCCATACAAACCACATGTCTGACCCAGTGGACCACATGTCTGGTGAGTATGCTCTCAATACCTTGGATGCAGCACCTCTTAAGAACTTCAGTATTGGAAATTCTATTCTACCACTTGATATTGCAAATGAATCATTAGTGGGAAAGGTGAAATGCATCTAGTTGCTTTATGGGTGACCAGCCAAAGTAGTTGTCTGGCAGGTATAAGAAGAGGAGGCTGTGTTTATGGTTCCTTTTCAGTCCCCTGTCCCCAGCTTGAGGAGAGCAGCACTATATTCAGAAAGTTTCTGCTCTATAACCTTAGGAAGACACACTTAGGAAGACACACTCTGATCTGTGAAGAATAACCATCACCCTGAGGTCACCTATGTGCACAATTGTGAATCGAGACTTCCAATAGCATCCTCCACCTGTCCCCATTGCCACAGGGCTTGGTCGTTTGTCTGTTGAACTACCTGCATGCTGAATATTTTAAAGTTGATGAGGTTTGTGCAGAGCCTCTCCAACTTTCTCATCCAAGCAGCCACTCCTGCACTGGTGCAACAGGTGTCATAAGCACAATAACTGGAAAAGATGTAGGTTTTATTTTGAAGTTATCCTTCTTCTAGTCTTTGACTTTCTCTTTGTGTAACCCACAAACAGTGAGTGGGGGAGTTTAAGGTTATTTATGGGCAACCACCACCAGTTAGTTTGCAACTATTTATTGGTTATTTACAATTGAACTCCATATCTGAAGGCCTTTTTCACTATCTGCCACCTTGGAAGTATATAGTGTGAGAAAAACAAATTAGCCACTATGAATATACACATTTAATTTTTAATATTAGTGCCCTTTCCTATATAGCATTTTTATGTATTTTTGTTGTCCTGATGTAATTGTATAGATTTTGATACCTAATAAAATGTATTTCAAAACAGATCCTTCATTTATTTATTTCTAGATGTTTGTGAGAAGACTAGGTGTGGGCCTAATGCAGAATGTATTGGTAAAAATCATAAACCTGAATGCCAATGCTTACCTGGCTTTAGTGGAATCCCAACAGACCTTAGTAAAGGTTGTGAGGGTAAGTATTTATGCCATTTAACAGAAATAATTAATGATAACATAAAAATATTTCATAGTTATTATAACTCTTTTTGAATTACTAATCCTTAAAAACTTTGAACTTACTCATTACTGATAAAGAAATAGAGGGTATTTGTCTGTTATTGTAGCATATATAAAATTATTTAGAACATTTGAAATATATATATATATATACAGTAGTGCATATGGCCTGGTTGTTACATACTTTTCATGTTCTTTTCTTAACACATTGTTTTCTGAGAGAGTGAAAACAGACAAAATTTTGAGGTAAGGATATTATACTTCATATGTTGAAATGGGGTTTAAAATTTCAAAATTATACTATAGCATAGTATGGTGTATAATAGTTGCATTGTAATCAAATAAGTATGTCTGAATTACTTACTTTTAATATTGTAATCAAATAATTATGTCTGAATTACTTACTTTTAATATTGTAATCAAATAAGTATGTCTGAATTACTTACTTTTAATATTGTAATCAAATAAGTATGTCTGAATTACTTACTTTTAATATTGTAATCAAATAAGTATGTCTGAATTACTTACTTTTAATTGTCTCGGTTGCATTAACATGTTTCACTTTCTAAACATGTAATGACCATTTGTCTCTTTGTAGCTGTTCCAGAAGACAAATGTCAAAAGAATGATGACTGTTCTGAAGAGGAGGTGTGTCAGCCTACGGAATCTGGAATTAAGGATTGTATGGGTTAGTGTATCTTTCATCTGTTTATCCAGTAGCGGATCGATAATTTTGGAAAGGGGGTTGCAGTCACCTGGATGGGTGCCATATAATTTCAGCATACGTCATTTATATTGATGCAGCCAGATGATACATGAAACTTAAATATTATAAATTATTGGCCTGTAGCTAGAAAAGGCAGGAAATAAAATTATTTATTGTTAAAAGGGGTGCACTTTGGATCATAACGGCCCAAAATTAAGGAAAGGGGGGCCAGCTGCACCACTCACACCCACCCTGAATCCTCTAGTATACTTATGTATCTCAAAAAATAATAAACTGATTTACATGAAATTTATACAGAAGATAGGGTGTGCCCATAGTATGGTCTTTTCCAAATCTGTTCTGGATTCAGATTCCGGATCAGTTTGAAACATTTTTATAATGAAGATATAGAGCATTTTCTCATTTTGTTGATAATAACTGTGTAAAAAGTGATCGGATTAGGACCGGATTTCAGGTGCACATTGAAACCAAAAATCCAAAACTTGCAGTGGTGCAAGGGTTTGCAATCTCTCTGATTGCTCTTGTTTTAATGAAGTTTTTCTACCAAAAATATGTTATTTAGCCATTGTAGTTAATTGTACTCAAACTCTTAATAGTTCAAGTGCAAGGTGATTTTCATATTGAGCATAAGAATAGTTTTCTTCATCTTTTAGTTTTCATATTTCATTTGCATAACCTCTAGGACCTCCTAAATGAATGGTAAAAGTTTTTTAAGGTAAATGTTTTATTTTATTTTTCATTTTGTCTATCACCATATCACTAACTGTAATTATTATAATCAACATACAGTGCAAAGAAATGTTTAAAATTAAGAAATAGAAAAAATGTACATTCCTTTTAATTTTTTATAGAATATTTTAAAAGATCTTCTTTTGGTTATATTTTAATTTCAGGTCTTTTCCTTTTCACATAATGGTTAATTTTGAATGTTTTCTTTCCTGTCCTTTACCTTTTATTACTCATCTTGGCACAAATTAATGGTACCTGCAAGGTATAATTACAGTATCTTCAGCAGATATGCATAATCCTTCAGCAAAAATATCTTGGCTTCATGCAAGATCTTAAGCCTTGAGAACTGATAGAAAGTATGATATATATTTAAATAACATTTAAACCTATCAGTTATGCATTTTAAAACATAAATAATACATAATTAACTAAGATATAAAAGTAAAACCTAAATACAATTTAACTGTCTCTCTAATTATAACACATTTAGCTAAGAAAAAAATTATAAATGCTGTAGTGGATAAAGCAGCCAACAATACTACAGGCAGTTATATCTACCCAATGACAACAAATATGTGGCAGTTTCCAAATAACTGTTTTTGGATTATTGTGTAAAATGAGATTTTTCTAGTGACATTATACATGTGTATGTAGCAGCTACATGTATGTTATATAGCTCAAGCAAAAGTATAGCAGGTGGGTGTGGCACCTGTCAGGAGTTGACAAATTTATTGCTTGTTTCTACTGCATTCAGCCAGAGAACTTTGAAATTTACCCGACAATAGGACAAGTAAACGTGCTTATTGTCTAGACTTGCATCTACAGGACTGGTAGTATGGGCTTCAAGATTGAGAGTCCAAAAGTTGATATTTTTTGATAGCTTGTGGGTCACAGGACAACAAAACTGAAGCTTTAAGTATTGTTTTAAAGGTTTCTTTTGAAATAAAGAAATTAAAACTTAGATAATATAAAACTTTGAATGAAAACAAACATCATAATGTTAATTTTATTCACATACATTATTAGTACAGGTGTTTAATTAAATTTTGAATGTAACTCGGTGACTTGCCCAGAAAAGTGTGTAAAATGTTAAATTATAAAAGTTGCTCAAAACCAGGATTTTCTATTATAATAATAGTAATGTAAATATAAAACGAAAGAAATAACATTGTCCTTTATTTTTCAGGTACCTGCTCCAAAAGGAAATGTGGTCCAAATGCTCAGTGTCTAGGTGTAGGGCACACTTCAATCTGTGAATGTTTATCTGGTTTCTCAGGTGATCCAAATGACGAAATTAATGGTTGCAAACGTAAGTTATTTCTATATCCACTTTTGTACTTTCCTTTTTCATTATCTAAAAAGAGCTAGAATTAATTGATGGCACATTTTATTGTGGTTTGTTTTTATTTGAAATATCAGATATCTTTATCATTTACTTTTATGGACATTCTGTAAAACTACTATTACTCCACATATTTGTCTGTTAGTAAGATAAGTCAATCAGACTTTAGAAATTACTGTCAGTGATATTCCTTCAAGGTAAATGTAATAAGTATTCTTGAACAGTACCCAACGATTATATAGAGATTAGTGTATATTTATATTTTATAAAAAGAAGTTACTGCTCTTAAGTTTAAACTCTTAATGAATGTTCTTATCAGTAACCCTGGGTTTTGTACTTTTATTTTGTTTTTTCTTTTGTTGTATGTGAAATTAATAGTTTTATAAACTCAAAGTAATTTATGTAAAATAATGAAAACAAATTGTATATCTTCTTTTTGCTTATAACTATAATTTCATAAAAATACACTGTTGAGTCATTGGTTTTTGGAAAGTCATGGAACTGATTATTACTTTATCAAATACAGGTGACATTTGCACAACAGATGATGATTGCCTGCCAAGTCAAGTGTGCCATAAGGAGAGTTTACAAGAAATTAAAGATTGTGTTGGTTAGTCATATTGTTTTTGTAACATGCAATTTATATCACTCAGTGAAAATTCTTAAAAATTTTTTTTAAATTCAGCTATGAATATTTGTACACATAAAGTACTGTTTTTTTTATGTGTGTCTCCACATACCATGGAAGGCCTGTTGGTTAGGGTGCTTGATTCACAGTCTGCTGGTTACAGGATTGAAACCTAGCACTGAACATGGTCACTTCTTTCAGGCATGAGGGCATTATATTCTGATAGTAAATTCTACTGTTTGTTGGTAAATGGTAGCCTAATAGTTGATACAGGTATTGCCGGCTGGTTATTATCTTCCTCTGGTCAGCAATTTAAAATAAGTGACAGCAGCAGATAGTCTTAGTAACTTTGCCATAACTACAATCAAAGCATGCAACTTTCTTTGGTGATTCAGTTCAAGTATTAAAAAAATTCACATTTAATTATGATAGGTTAAGTTGATATCAACTAGCAGAAACAAATTTTAGTCTTCACAAATCTCTAATAATGAAAATTAAAATTTATGTAAAATTTTAAAACAGTTTTCTGCCATCATTTGTTAAAAAAAATGTAAATCAATACTTGAATTATAACTGCCTAACAAGAATAACTACATAAATGTAATGAAAGAAGAGTACTTTACTGGTACTCTCATATACTTGTTGATTCGTAAGTATGTTCACAGACAAATGATTCAGAAATGGAAAAGTATAGGAAAGTAGTTGTTGGTGTTATGGAATGAGATATTTGTGGCCTACCCTGTGACATCATCATTGAAGCCATTCAAGGTCATGTCCTCTGAAGCTTGTATTAATATGCATCATACACCAAAAATGTCAATTGCAAAGGTGTAGACAATAACAAGTGAAATATTTTAAACCAAAAGTTATCAACATAAATACAGATGAGGTAAACACCTTAACACTGTTATAAAATGGTTGCAAACAACCAGTTGCCATGCTCAAAATGATGCCCCAGGTGGTAATATGGCAGCTTCCTTGTGAGTATTGGTTTCTGTCCTTAGTTTTCCCACACAGCATCTACATGTAAGTGATCCTGTAACATGCAGCCCCTGACATACAATTTCTGTTATCTGATATGAAGGATGAAATTCATATTGTAATGGTTTGGGAAACAATCTGGCAACAGCAAGCATCTGGTGACACTCTCCATGTTAAACTGCTCTTCTTCAATTGTACCATTGTTTCGATGATTGAGGAGCAGTTGTTTCTGTTCTTTGGTTTTAATGCTTTTAACCTTCTGAACCCTTTAAAAGTGCAGTGATCTACTTATGAAAAATTTTAATCTTGTAACTTGTACCTATGTTTATGTAAAAACTTATATTTCTATTTGATTTTCAACCCTTTGTGGCACAAAGTGGAAGGGATATATTTATAGTTATAATTGTTTTTCATGAAAAGTGATTTTGGTAATATTTGTGTTTAAACTATTTCATTTGTTATTGATTATAACTTTTCTATTAACATTTTTTGGAGTATGATACACATTTGTAAACTTTTCGAAAGAAATGCCTTGGATAACCTTAATGATATTGTCACAAGATAGGTGCACAACACCTGTTTTCATGACCTCTAGCAATTATATTCCTATACCTCTCCATTTCTGAACTACTTACCTATTAATGGACTTGTGAATTATCCTGCTTCTAAATACACTGTGAACATAATTCCCTCACTGATGAGTCACTAATTATATCAAAATTAAATTTGAACATTAATTTTGCATAAAACAAATGTTAAAAACAGTAGTTGATTTTTAATACTGGGAGAATTAATACAACTATAGCTTTACACATGTGGCTCCATTGAGATTAAATCTATCAGTAAAGTCTCACTGACCATATACATGGTCTTGCTGTCAAAATGCTCTTCTCATTGTTAAAATAAGTATCAATTCTATCACCCCCCTTTATTCCCTTGCAATTCAAGTATTAATGTCAATCATCTGTGTAATTAACTTGAGTATTATGGCCATTCAAATAGTTTTAGAAAGAGGTAATAACAATAAAAATATATTATTTTTAAAATTTAAATTTTGTCTTATGCAGAATTGGATTTCCAATAAAGAGCTAAATACTTTTCAGATGTTTGTAAGGACAAACAGTGTGGTTCCAATGCAGAATGCATTGCATCTAACCATCAAGCTCAGTGTACTTGTAAACCTGGTTTTGAAGGTGATGGTAACAATCTACAAAAGGGCTGCTTGCGTAAGTAATTCTTCTTAGGATGTTTAGATTATTCATTAGGAAATGCATTAAACTTCTTTCTTATTATTTATTGCTGATTTATTTGTAGAGAATTACTTTAAACAATTTTATGATTGTATTGCTGAATGAACTTTATTGGTCTTATGCAATTATTCAGGAAAATTCTATACATAATACTGACATCTTATATTTTGTTTTGTTTTTATTGCAATAACATGTTAGTAAATTTACTAAAAAAAACTGTACCCCGATTTATATAATATAGAATAAGATTTGCTCCTATATTGGCAAGAAAAGTTCGTTCTCATGTCTGGCATATTTTGAATAATTTTTGAAATAAAAACCCTGAGACAATTTATTTGATAAAGAAACAGTTTTATCAGACTTCAGGTTATAATGTGTGTGTGTGTGTGTGTGTGATATATATATATATATATGTGTGTGTGTGTGTGTGTGTTTGCGTAAAAATGAACCACAG